GAGAATAATATGATGAAAGGAAAAGAAATCAAGGTAGTGCTAGAATAGATGAAGCCCACGTGGGATGCTCACTGTTAAGAACAATCAGGAAATGACAAATGCAGTTTTTAGGACACCTGAATAAACATATAGGTGTTGAACATCTAGCTCTTATTGGCAAAATTGAAGGCAAACGAGGCAGGGGTAGGCCCAGAGCAACCTATTTAGGAAACTTAACAAACTGGTAACATGGAAAGATCAGAGAAACTTAGCTTTTTTAAGCGCATCCAAGCAAAGGACTATCTACATATAATATAGGATTGCGTGTGTTTGTGTGTGTATGTGTACGTGTGTGTGGGGGGGGGGCGCACCTGTGCATGTGTCTTTGTGTCAAATTTATTAATAGTATACTCTCATGTTCAATACTGATATGCGGTAGTACTATGTTCATGTAATTGGCTGTTTCCTATCCTCGATTTACTCCATTCCTAACAATTCCCCATCATGCATTACTCATCACAAGAAATCCATTACGTAATTCCAAACTGTATCAAACTCAGTATCACTGGGTTGTCGTGTTGATAAAAAAAAGAAAAATTGCTTCTATCACAATCCATAAACCAGAACTCTAACTAACCCCTGCCTCCCCTCCCCACCCCCACCCCCGAGAATGAAACCTGTTGCCATTCTGTCCCACTAATAATTACAGGATTTAGAATTAGAAATTTACTCAAGTGCTTCTATCTACTGCGAACTGTGGAATTTGTGATCATTATGCAAGCCAATTGCAGATCTTTTCTGTACTTTCCTTTCATTAAAATATAAGCTACCTTCGCTAATTAGACCCAAAAAATCCATCACTTCTCTTTCTTTTTGGATGTTAAAGGTCATCCTTAGTTTAAGGTGAACGGTATATTATTGTTAATCATGATATTTTGTGAAACGCCACATGAAAAAACGTGAAATTGACACATAGCTATAGATCCAGCCTGATCCTTTTGGGAGATAATGGAAAGTCCGCTAATTGGTTCTTTTTCTTTCGTTTTTTCTCATAGTTCTTTGTCTTTTAAAAATATTTTAAGGGCGGGGGGGGGGGGGGGGTATTTTTAGTGGTATCTTCTCCTCTAATTTCTCTAGAAAGCTCAAAAACTTTTGAACTATATAAAGACTGACCTTCCTTCCTTGCACGCAGAACAAGTTTTCTATCTCGTTGCTGTTTCTAAAGGTTAGTTTCAGTAAGAGTTTTACGGCACTCGCAGAGAAAATAGGTCATAGTATACTTACCAATACAAAACCAAAAAAAAAAAGGAAGGAGGAAGATAAAGTTGAGGGATATATGATAAAATAGGATGAACAAACCACACCAGAGGACCCACAAACCAACCTCTGTCTCGTCACGTTGAACAGGTATTGCGTAGAATCTAAATCTTAGAATTAGGGCGTACTTGCTCTTTTGTTGAGGCATAGCCGTCCAATACGGAGAAAGATTATTAGTATTTTTTAAATAGAACCCCAAGCTGCCTATGTTGATATTAATTTTGTTATTATTATGCTGTCTTACACGTAGTTTGATTTAAAAAACACTAGTGCTTGATTTCGACAGATCTAATATTATTGAGGCTCCAACTATCTATGTTTATGGGCTGATTTTGCATAGGTTTAGATAAAACTAGCAATTGATTTATGCATAGTATATAATATTAAGCATTTTTAAAAAAAATCAGAATTGATTTCAACGAAACTTCGCCAAAATTTTAGGCACAAGAAGTGATATCATAATTTATCATTGTAGCATAAAACAATTATTTAGCTTCATAATCATTATAACGGTCGGTCAACTGGTCAGATATACTAAGCCCTAAATGTTGAATTTTGTCTAATTGTCGTTTCCTCAGGGTATATCTGTAGGCCTAGTATAGAATTCTGTACTAGATAAATATTTTGTTAGAAATTCAAACTTAAAATATTGGGGTGGAGGGGGGGGGGGAGCAGGTGCAAGAAAATATAACGTATGATCAACCTTGTAGACTTGTAGAAGAATCGACAGAGTTTTGGGGGGTCTTTTTTTCATTTTCTCTCAAAATATCTTATTTGTTACCTGGGACATAAGAACAATTGAGAAGCCCCCAAATCTTTTGAAACATATTATTATCATAAGTGAGTAGAATTCAACTTCATGTAAGAGATATAATAATAATACTAAATAGCATTCGTATAGCGCATACCTCCACTCAACAGCAAGCTCAAGGCGCTTGACACACTATATTATTACCTCAGCGGACCATGAACACTCATGAACATTATGAGCTCCCCAAGAAGCACACAGTACAAGCAGCTGATTAAGCGCTCAAACACTAACAAACTGACAAGATCTTACTCTGTCTATAGCTGGGTACCCATTCCCACCTGGGTGAAATAAGAAAACTTCGCATAAAGTGCCTTTTCCAAGGACACAAACGTCGAGCCCCAGATGGGATTTGAACCCACGAGCTTATGGTTGCGAGTCGGAGAGCCTAAGATGTATACTGAAACGTATTATAAAAGACCTCCTGCGGAAAGTGACTCGTTGCACCCTTACTAATGGCAGAGTTCTAGTTCTATTTTTAAGATTAATGTATTTATTTATCAACTTGTTGGTTTGTTCTTTTTTAAACGAGAACTAAGTTACACATTGTGCTTATACATATGATTTGCTTATTGTGTTAAAAACCTCGAGACAACATAACCTATACTATTTCAAAGTATTTTTTTTATATTTTTTTTATTTTGTTTCATTTATTAGAGTTTATTTCATTTTTTCTTTAAAAAAGCGTGTGTGCGTGTATGTGTGTGCTTGTGTGTGT